CCACCATTATTTGAAGGAGAAGACTATCAGTTTTGGAAGGCGAGAATGAAAATATTTTTACAAACACTAGATTACGGTGTTTCGGATGTTGTACTCAACGGTCCCTACATTCCGATGAGAACAACGAAGTCTAGTGTTGTTCCAAAGACTTTTGATCAATGGACGCCGAATGAAAATAAGCGTGTCCATTATGATGTAAGAGCCCGAAATGCTATTGTTTCTGCCTTAACTCGTAATGAATTTTTTAGGGTCCAACAATGCAAGATGACAAAAGAAATATGGGACACTCTTGAAGTAACACATGAAGGAACAAATGAAGTAAAGCGAGCACGTAAGAACACACTCATCTAGGAGTATGAATTATTTCAAATGTAGCAAAATGAAAGCATCACAGATTTCCGGACACGCTTCACACATATAGTAAATCACTTGAAAGCATTAGGAAAGAGTTTTGACAATGAGGATTTGAACACAAAGATCTTGAAATCCTTAGACAAGAATTGGCAACCAAAGGTCACTACTATTACAAAATCAAAGAATCTCACAAAAATGAATATTGCTACTCTATTTGGAAAGCTACGAGAACATGAGATGGAGCTACAAAGGTTAAAGAACGGTGAACAGAACCAAACCAAGACGATAGCTCTAAAAGCATAAAAATCTTCACAAGATGAAAGCGAAAATGAAGGTAAGTTTTTGGACTCTGATATGTCTCTTTTTGTTAAACAATTTTCTCGCTTTATGAAGAATAGGAAAAAGAGACACAAAAGAAAGGAGAAAACAAATAAATTCAATTGCTATGAATGTGGAAAACCTGGTCATATCAAACCAGACTGTCCAGAACTTAAGAAAGAGAAGAAATATGTGAAAGAGAAGAATGATACCTATAAGAGCAAACACAAAGCTTATATTGCTTGGGAGGATAATGATTCTTCCACAACACAAGAGAGTTCTTCCGAAAGCAGTGATGGAGAAGAAGAAGCAAATCTTTGCTTGAGGACAAAAAGTGATGATGAAGCCTCATCACAGGTAAGTAGTACAAAATCCTAAAATGAATATGATGAGTTGTTTAAAAAATATCAAGATATGTATGAAGGTTTTACCAAGTTATCTAAGAAATACAATGCACTTAGACAAAAGTTTAATGCGTTAGAAAATACTGTTGGTATTCTTGAAAAAGAAAATGAGTGCTTAAAGAAAGAATTTCATAAATTTAAAAAGTTTGTCTAAAAATAAAGAAGTTGCTAAACCTTGTGAAAATTGTAATCTTTTGGAAAATGAGATTTTCAAGTTAGAGAAAATAATAAGCAAGTTTTCAAAATCTTCTGAAAATCTTGATTCTATATTAGGTTATCAAAGAGGGAATTCTAGCAAAGCTGGACTTGGTTACAAACCCAAAGAAAGTCTAGAACCTCATAAAACTATTTTTGTGAAAGAGTCAAGGAAAACAGATGTGAAACCAGTTTCAAAAACTTAAAGAAACTCATTTATGTTAGAATCGCGCAGCGGAATGTTCGCATGGTCGGACAAAAACCAAGAGGGGGGATGAATTGGTTTCTTAACAAAAATTAGGTTTTCAAAATTTTCCCCAAATTTTACCGATTAAAAATCTGTGTAAACGTAAATAAGATAGAGATAGAGTCTTACACAGGAGATTTATACTGGTTCGGATCAAAAGACCCTACGTCCAGTTGCTAATCACTCAAACAGAGGATTAACGCTGTCACTATAATCAAAGTTGTTACAAACAGATAACAATTGAAAATACAAAGTAAAGAAAACACCTCTCTTGAAACCCACAAGAGATGAAGAACAACTTTTCCCAGAGACGGCACAACACACAATCCACTAAGAACTCCACTTAGTGATTCTTATCGCTTCTAGCCCACACCAGGTTCCAAAAGCCCCTTTTTCGTCCAACAAACAGTTCTTTGGCACTCACAACACTTAACTTTTGTTTGAAAAAGGTTGTTCTTCTTTTCTGAGTGCCATAGAGAAGCTTAAATAGAGAAATTAGGGTTTGGGAATTGGGATTTTCGGAACTAGGAGTCTTGGGATTAGGGTTTTCGAAAATAGGGTTGATTTGAAGTTGAAAATCAAAATCTGACTGAAATAATCGATAAATGAAGTGTTAATCGATTATTACAGAGCCAAAATCAACAGAACCCCAAAACTCACTGTTTTAATCGATTAAAAGCCCTGTTAATCGATTAACAGGTGTGTTAATCGATTATTACAGTGAACAGATACAGAAAATGGTTTTTCTCACTGTAATAATAAATTATTTGACCATTTAATCGATTAAAGCCGAGGCAAAAAGATAAATTTGAGTTTTTGAAGCTTCTAAAGTGCAGACTATGTACCGGCTATCTTAAACTCTAATATTACAGACTCAAACTAATCAAAACAGAGTTATTATACTATAAAACAAGTCTTCAACTCTCTAAGTCTTGTGTTCTTGAATCATCATCAAAATCAACAAGCTTCATGTCCATGTAAGTTCAACATCAAGTCCTTAAATGTTCAACAATTTAGACCTTTTCAAAGAAAACCAACATGTTTTTATTGCATGAAATTAGGTCATACATCAAATAGATGTTACATAAAATTTTTTGGCATATCTAATGGAAAATATGAATGGGTGTCTAAAGGAACAAAACATTTATACATGTCTAGATGATAGTTGAGCATCCAATAGATTATGAATTTTCGAAAAATTTATTTTTGCGGTCATAATCAATTATGTTGATTCTGTAGGTGATGTGATAATCGATTATTATATCATGGTTATATCCTTAGTCTTTTGGCAGAGGCTTGTGATTCTACTAACCTTTTTAAGGACCCAAAATAATTAAAGGGTACCTAGATTTGTATGTTGATGTTGCAGGTAATTATCAAGGATAAGAAATTAATGCAGATTATTGAAGTTAAATGGGTATACAGGAACAAGCTAGATGAACAGGGAAATATTACAAAGATAAGTTTGTGATTGTCTCTGAAGCCTCTATATTGAATATATGCACTTATCTGTCACATAAAATCTGATTGTTGACTGTAGACCCCAAATCTTACCTGGCCTCAAAATAAAGAGCAGAAGACCTCCTATTTGAAGATGGACAAAGCCTAAAAAGCCACTAGGAGAGACTATTAGCCCCATATTAGAGTAGGAAGGCTTTTTTGTACAAAAAATAAGGATTTTCACCTTAAGGGTCAAGACTGTTGTCTCGCTTATCGGGACTGTCGTCTCGATTTTAGACTTGGTCGAGACGGCTATCTCGTTTGGCGAGACAGCTGTCTTGCCATTCACAAAATCGAGACCCCCTTCCCGTTTGGCGAGAAGGCCCTCTCATCATTCGGCAAGTCGAGACCGTCGTCCCGAATGGCAAGATGGTCGTCTCGACCTTGCTAGGCAAGACGGCCGTCTCGACCTGACAGGCGCGAATCCCTATAAATAGGGGGTGCTCTCCCCTTCATTTCACACAGTTCTTCCATTCTTCCTTCTACACTTTCTTAGAATTCCTCTTTTAGAGTCCCTCCTAAGCATTTCCAGAGTTTCTGAGTGTTTTAAGAGAGCTTTATTACCTTCATCCTTTTTGTATTGGTGGCAAAGGAGGTACTTTTCATCCCTAGAGTGATTCTAGGGAGATTTTCATCCTTAGTAAGATTCTAAGGAGGTGTTTTCATCCTTTGATTTGTTCAAAGGAGGTTTTCATCCCTAGTGTGATTCTAGGGAGGTGTTCATCCTTATGGGATTCTAAGGAGGTGTTTTTCATCCTTTGATTTGTTCAGAGGAGGTGTTCATCCGTGGGATTCTAAGGAGGTATTCATCCTTAGTGGGTTTCTAAGGAGGTGATTGTCTTTTTAATTAGTTTACTTTTTACTGGTTCTTCTACTGAGTTGATTGTAATTTGTAAATTGAATTTGAAAGATAGTGAATTAGGAGTCACTCTTGTGTTAAGAGTTGACTGAGAACTAGATGTAGGGTTGGTTATACTCGAACCAGTATAAATCATTGTGTGTTCTTCTCTTTCCCTTATCTCTTTCTCTTTTCCTGATTATATTATCGCTTCCGCTTTATCTGTGTTCAAACATTATTGACTCACAAAAAAAATTTTAATTTGACATCTATTTTAATTTGTGCATCTATTCACCCGCCCTCTAGATGCCATTTGTCTAACAAAAATTTCAAAATAACCTTAAGCTCTAGATACCATGTTGAATATAGAAGAAATAGAGTTTGAGATTAATCTCCCTTGTGTATAAATCACACATAAGGTAATCTATTTATAATAGAGAGATATAACTAAAAGAGTAACTGAAAGTAACAGAATAAACAGAAGATATTGTTTGATATTGTGGTTAACAATATCTTAACAATATCAAATAATATTTAAACAATATCTAACAGGAAACATCATCAACCACGTCCCGACAATAACATTTGTGGAGGTTTTTAAGGTAAGAGTTCTGAACCATATAAGAACAACAAATAATAAGATTATTCATCATTAGAAAGGCACAATGAAACAATAATATATTATGTTAATTTGTTTATTTTTTTATTTTTAAAGTAATTTCATCAAGCAATTCTTAAAAAAATTCTTAAATAAAAAAAAGTGTGGGATGAATAAGTTTGTATACAAGAAAAGAAAATGAAATTTGTCAAATTATTTTCTTAAAATAAAAATATTATTATATATTATTAAAAATTGATTTAATTATTTAAATTTTCACAAAAAAAAGTAATAAATTTTTTACCATAAAATTAGTAATTTTTACAAATTGTTTAATCAAATTATAATAAATATTAGTATTATGTATTATGATTAAATTAAAAATTAAAAAATGTAAACAATTTGAATGTGATTTGTTTAATGATAATGTGAAATAATAGAACCTATCCCAATATTTGTTCAGTATGAGAAATAATTCATAAAGTTACTATTTCATGTATATGAAAACTAATTCTATATAATTATTCCCATTGGAATTACCCTCAGATACACCGATGAAACTGTACTCCAGATGCGGCTGGCGGATGGTCGGTTATCAATGAACAAGTCAAGAACCCAACAAGAAAAATTTAACGGTAAAATATTTTTTTTATATGTAAATATCTATTTATTATAATTAGAATGTATGATTTTTATATGATATATTAATTACTTTCTTATTTTTTAATTATTATAAATGAAAAAATAATTTTATGTCAAATTATAATTAATTATAAATATCACTTATAAAAAATTAATTATTTTTTGCAAATTTATTTAAAAAAATTTATTTAAATTTGTAAGATACTTATTTTTTACCAATTTTTATAAAAATTTGTAAAAATATTTTCATAAAATATAACATTTTCTAATAAAGTATGTACGATCAAATTAAAGTTCTCCGAAGTTTTTTTTAATTAATTTTGAATAATATGTGATAAATTATTTATAATATAAAGCTAATGAATTTTTAATAATAAAAAATAAAAATTTAATAACATAATTAATAAATATAAAAATTAAACAAAATATTTGAATTATATTTAAAATTTATCTATTCAAATACTATTTCAACCAATTAAAAACTTTATTCATGCACTAAATGCGCTATCTCCAATTAGAAACTTCTATTTTTTTTAATTGAATTGAATGAAATTTGAATCCCGGTTTATTGTTAATTTTTTATAATTTTATCATATATATATATATATATATATATATATATATATATATATATTTTTTTTTTTTTCTTTTTTTTTAATGATGAGAAGCTCGTAATCTTTGTCCGTGTGAAAAGAGAGACTTTTTCGAACAAAAAGACAGACACGTCTATTTATAAGGTGTCAACAAGTCAAATGACCAATCACGTGAGAGTCAATTTAAAGAAGGGATTTTTCTTTTTATATTAACCTCATAAAAAAAGTGTTATATATGTGCATGTTATAATAATAAAATACGCCTAATATATTATTGTATATATGATTCATCTGCAACTTTATTCAACACAAATATACCTAATACATTAATTATATATATATATATATATATAATATTTTTAAGATTTATTAAAATTATATTATTTTAATTTACATATATATATATTAAAGTTTTTTTTCTTGTAAATTCATTAAAAAATAAGATAAATAAATAAATAACCCTCGGTTCTTCTTTAACTGATCATGACAGTTGACCTCAAATTGACGTTTTCGAGTGGATTGGCTATAGCTGTTCTCATTAATGGTTTCCATGAGCAGGCGGAAAAGTGGAAGTACACATTTTATTTAAGGAAAATGATATTTTATCACCTAAATTCATACATTATTTAAAGGGTTATATAATTTCTAGTTATCAAAATATCACCACTCTTTATTTAGTCTTCAAAATTCTCTCTCTTTTATTTATGTATTTATTATTATTATCTTTCAATAGGAAAATCTTTTAATAATTAATATTAAATTTAGATATAATTTATGTCTTTTTATAACTTTTTACATATTAAAATTAGTGTTATGACAACTTTTTCTTTATAAGATTTAATGAGTTAGCAAAGTAAGATATTCAAATACTTGCACTTAAATGAAAACTTGTCATGTTAATAAAAAAATCCTCAACTGGTGAATCAATGGATAAGTTAAATATTTAGAATAATCTAAAAAATATTTTTGATATACAATTATGAAAATATATAAAATTATAAATGGGATAATCATTCTAGAAATATATAAAAGTAAAAAAAAATTATAATTCTTGATAATTTTAAATTTAAAAAAATCTAGAACTGTCTAAAATATTATTGATTAACTTGGAGGTGATAGATAAGGTCTATAATAAATAGGTAATACAATTCATGTAATTTGTCAACTAATTCAAACTCATCCACATTTTCTTTCTAATATTTCTCAATTATACCTTTATAAACTTCTCATTATTAAACAACAAATTGCCTTCTCCATTCTCCTAAAATATAAACATTGGTATTAGATTTACATTCGAGCATCTATTGGACGTTGATACAATATCCAACTATCTCAAAACTCCTATACATTTCATATCAATCCTAATCAATGACTAATGTCAATCTTTCTTCATCTATTTTTGTACCTCTTTTCATAGGAGAAAGTTGACTTTTGAAACATTAAAATAAAGACATTTTTTCTCTCAAGATCTATTGGAGATTATAGAAGATAACTTCATTATTCCTACAAACATTTTCACACTAACTACTATTCAAAAGGAGTTGAAGGAGAGAAAACAATTGAAGGAGAGCAAGCAAAAAAGGACTCAAAAGCATTATATATTGATATAACAAGTTGTTGTTGAGGCTATTTTTTCTAGAATAATGAATGTCACAAGTGTCAAAGAAGTGTAGAACGTACTACAGGAGAAGTTTTAAGAAAATGTAAAGATAAACACTATTAAACTTAAAACTTTAAGGTGTGAGTTTGAGCTAATGGGCATATAGGAGCATGAAACCATTAAGTATTATTATACTAGAATAAAAGAGATAGTTAGTCAATGAGAGCATGTGGAGAAAATATTCTTCACAATAACATTATTGAGAAAAATATATTTTCTATTTCTCATAAATATGATGTAATAGTAACTACAATTGGACAAATCAAAGATCTATTTACCTTATCGGTGACATAACTCATAAACTCTCTTGAAAGATATGAGCAAAAATTGAAAAGGTAAAATGAAGAATTTATCAAAAATGTCTTTCAATAAAAACTCAAATTAAAATATCGGAATAAAGAAATTAGAGGAAAGATGATTGAATAAATTTATAGAAGTAAATAAAACTTTAGAAGTTTCACTAAATCTAGTTTAGGCAAATATCCTCCATGTGACATATGTAACAAGTCAAGTCATATGGAGAAATATTATTGGCATTATGGAAAATCACAATGTCAATATTGCATGAAACTTGGACATGTGGAGAAGAACTATTGTAGAAAAAACAAGTATCAAGCAAATTTTACTAAAGAGCATGATCTTTAACAATATCTTTTTTATGCTACTCAAGACTCAAGTGATGAAACAAACTGATGAAAATTTTCTTCCACTTTAACCCAAGAGTGTTAAAAAATCTTTCAAACTTCCAAGTTCTTAAAGAACTCGGTGAAGTTCTCTCTCTAAGGAAGGATCCTTGATGGAGAATTAGGAGAAGATTAATCCCATTTTACCTTTAAATGAACAAGACAAGCAAAAGGAAGTTCTATTTATTCAAAGGGCCAAAAACAAGGTTCAATGGGTTCTATTTGTAGTTGAAGTTCCCTTTGCACTTTCGGAACCAAACAAAGCAAGACTTATAAATACACATGGTCGAACTTGTCCTTGTATACAACACACATTTTAATAAATTTTAGAAGTGGTGGCTTCATTATCTCTTCTCCCATGTAGTTGCATTTGTAGCTTGGTTCTCCACGGAGATGGTTGAACATAAGGCCCAATTGAGGTCCAATTTTAAGCCCACATGTGCTTTTACACAATTTTACAATTACAAGAGAATAAAGTCTTGTATAAAATTTATAAGACTAAGAAGCAAAAATAATTTCTTAATAAATTATACTCCAAAGTTGGAGGGTTTTCTTTTAGGTTTCTTCTTCTATACTCCTAGTCATGAACCTTATTAAGCATCCAATGTGTTGTATGTTAGATGGTCTTTCAGCAGAACCTCCCTCTTGAGAAGGATTTGTCTTCATATCTAGATCATCTTCGTAATTAGCAACCCCCGCAAAAGGAGATAGATCACAAATAGTAAAGGTAGGGGTTGATTCTATATTGATGTGTAAGATGTAATCTAGCAACAACAATAGGATATCAATCCTTTTTTCAGCAAGTCACTTGATTTTCTAGCTCTTCAATTTTTGTCACATAAGCATGCCTATTGTGTAGGCTTGCTCCAGAAACTAACTTTATTTGATGTTCTATTCCGCTCAAAAGTGGAAGTCCAGGAGGTATTTCTTTGGGAAATAGATCATCAATTTCTTAAAAAATTCTTTTGATTCCCATGTGATAGAGAATCAAGTTCATGACTTGTGGTAGCAAGTGTCATTTTACAACAGAGAAGGAAAATAACTTATTCAAACTTTAAGAAGATTTTAAATTTTTTTGTTGAACAAATTCTTTAGAGGGGACACAAACCTCCAAACCATATTCCTTCTCCTCTTTTATTCTTTTTTCTTTTCTTTGATTTTTTTATTTTTTTTTTGTCCTCTCTCACTTGTTAAGGTGCTAGAAGACACAAGACTACTTTTTTTTCCTATCTTTATGAAAGAAACTTATTTTATTGGTGAAGCCATCATGTATAGTTTATTTATCAAATTGTCATGGCCTTCCAAGTAAGATATACTTAGTTTCCATAGGAACTATATCACATAAAACTTTATTTTTTATAATTTAATAAGAAAATGACTATACTTGTTTATTAATTACTATACCACCATCATTATTGAGCCATTGAAGTTTATAAGGTGTAGGATAAGGTGTAGTAGTTAAGTTTAGTTTGTCTACCAACCTAAAACTACAACAATTACAATAAAACCCATTATTCATAATCAAAGAATAACTTTTTTGCAAAACTTGTAAGAATCCTTCTCACCATTAATAATTCTCCTTCACAAAGAATTTCTTCATCAGAGTCTTGTGTTTCCCTTTCACTAGGTGAAGAGTGAACTTCATCCTGACTTACAATATTTTGGTCCTTTAGAAGTATTGTTTTTTTTTATTAGGACACTTAGAAGCATAATGTCCTTTACCAAGACATCGAAAATATTAAATGTCTCTAGTTATAGTCCCCTTGGAAGGTTCTTTTTGTTTTTTTTTCTCTTTCCTTTTCTCTTTCTCTTTATTTTTATTTTTCTCTATCCTTTTATCATGACCCTTCATCCCTAGATTTGGAGGTTGTTGGAGTCTCTAGAGCATCTCCATCAACTTTTTATCATAATAGGAAGGTACATGTCTTTTTCTTAAGGCACTCCTAAGTTCGTTCTAGTACCTTACTTGGGGCGCATTGCGTATTATTCTCTCACAAGGGAAGTTTATCAATACATAGCATACCCCTTAAAAATGAGGTTGTCATGGGCATCTTTCTCTCCTCATCTACTCAGTGACATTCAAAGAGTTGTTCGACCTTCATCTCCCAATTTAAGTATTCTTAAACATGATATTTTCTTGTAGAAGGAGGAACATAAAGCTTAGGTTATTTAGGATAATTATTTGACCTAGACCTTGGTGGTGCCTGAAGGAAGGTTGATAGTAATCATTATTGTGATGACTATTATACCTTTCTCTATTTGTGGACTAAAGTTTCCTCATGAAATTATATCCTTCAACACCAACCCTTACCATGTTTTCTATTAGGCTTCTCTTCCTTTTGCCTCAATAATTGTGCAAACATGTCCATTTCTTTATCTCTCTTTTTTTTTCTTTTTTTTTTAGATCTCTAAGTTCATCTCTTAAGGACTATTTTTCACTATGGTCCTTATAACTCCCACACATAGTAAAATAGCTAGAATGATTATGGTCACTCATTTTTTTTATTTAAATTCACGTTTGAAAGATTTTTCACAAAAATGAAGTGACAAATTTTCACAAAAGTTTTGAGATGATCCTTAGTTTTTGTCATAGATAAAAAAACTACTAATGAAAAAGATTTTAAAGAAAATAAATTGTAAACTAGACTTGTCCTAGTGTGAAAGTCCACGTGACACTTATGAGAATCCTGAGACACTTGCACAAATCTAATTGCTTACTATTACGAAATTCACCTTAGGAGAATAGACATTTTCCAAGACACCCAACAAAATAAACAAAATTGCACAAAAGATAGAAAATACAAGAAAATTTCATGATAAAAATAACAAGGTTTTCAATGATAGTAACCACAATTTTTTTCCTCTTTATGAAAAAAATTAGTGACGAAAATTCCTAACCACAAATTTTCTTCTTGTTTCATTTTGGAGTTTGCATCTAACTTTGTCCAATGTTTAAAGTGATTTTCCTCACAAGCGTTTACTCTCTTATGAAGCTCTTCTTGCCTCTTAAATTCATCAATAATCTTCAACTATTCTCTCATCAACACCTAATATACTACCTTGAAGATATGTGAGTTTTCAAGAAAATAATAGAAGATTCAATTATTTTCAATTTACTCAAGAATAAGATCAAAAATCAAGAAAAGCTCAATTAGAATTGGACACTTTCAAATGAAAGAATTAGATGTGATATTTTCAAGAATCCCTAAGAATGAAAAACAAAAAATTAAGGCAATTTTAAAAGTAGGTACACTAAAAGAATCCTAATGAATAACTCTTGATTTTCAATACTAAAACAAAAACAAAATGCAAGTTAAATAAAAAATCAAATACAATATGCTACTGTAGAATTTTATTTAGAATTACGACAAAGTTTACAATGTAAGATGCTTATGATACAACTAAAATTATAAGGCAAACTCGAGGTACAAACAATGTGGGACATGATGTGAGATTCTTTAATATCTTCCTGTTTTCTTTAGTATAGTCTCGCCCTCTTTCCTTTTCACAACTTTTGTTCTCTTTTTCTTTCTATTTATGAGACTGTGCTTTTTATCAATTTAATTTTCAAGAATAACTCAAAAATTTTGATCAATTTCAATTCCAAATTCAACAAGTAGGAGATGTCACATATTCTAAACAATTTGATTCAACTTACAACTTATGAAATTGATTAGAGAAGCCACAACCTACTTCTTACTATGAGGAAAAAATATTTTTGATATTTGATAATGATATAATAGGAAAAGAATAATTCAAACTAAGAAGTACAAGCCATGCATAATTCGATTCATATTGAAAACATACCAAAGAAATGTGGAAAAAAAATGTGGGACTACTTCTACAGTAATTAACAAATAAATGACTAAACAAAACTTCTAAAGAGCATGGAAGTTTACAAAATTCAAAGCTAAGTAATAAAATGTCATCTATTAAATTCAAACAAAGATACAAAATTCAAGACATATTATAGATCTTACTTTATCACATACAATAAAAAACAACTATAAGCATAGAACATACATAAACATGACTAAAAGGAAATACATGCATAAGGAAAAAATAAAACACAAGGAAGAAGGATAGTGAAATGATCTCTTGTAGACATTCATGCCTTGTTCATGATACCAAATTGATGGATATTTTCTTCCCTTTCAACCCAAGAGTGTTCGAATCTTTGAAACTTCCAAGATATTAAAGAATTCGGTGAAGTTCTTTCTCCAAGGAAGGATCCTTAATGGGGAACTAGGAGAAGATTACTCTCATTTTTACTTTAAAATAATAAGAAGACAAGCAAAAAGCAAGTTTTATTCTCATGCTCATTCAAAATGGCAAAAAAAGGTGCAAGAGGCTTTATTTATTGTTGAGCTTTTCCTTTTCACTTCATGAACCTAGCAATGTAGGACTTGGAAATACAAATAGCCAAACTCCTCCTTGTTTGAAACACATATTTTAGCCTAAAATTTTTCTATTCTATTGAATGTTAGATTCTCTAATTTCGTGTTTCGATTTGACCATAGTTTTCTTTGTATATATCTTTTTTGGCTTATTTTTACTTCATTAGGTTCGTTATTCCCATGACTTCAATTTATATATATGGTACATGAAATTCAGAGTGCAGAGCTATTTTTAATAATTTTAAAAGTTGTAGCTTCACTCTTTCTTCTTTCATGACTTAACTGCATTTGTAGTTTGGTTCTCTAAAGAACATTGAACATAGGGCCCAATTGGAGGCCAAATTGAGGTTAAATTTTAAGCCCACATGTAAAATTCTAAAATTACGACAGAAAATAAAGTCCTATACAATTTTTACAAAACTAAGAACAAAAAAGAATTCATAGTAAACTATATTTCAAATTAAGAGGGTTTTCTTTGAGGCTTCCTCTTCTTCTATCCTCCTAGCCATGAAACTTGTTAAGGATCTAATGTGATGTGTCCTTGATGGTCCTCCATCCCAAGCATAAGTCCATACTTGAAGAGTAGATGCAGTAATAACATGACCAAAGACAAGAGCATCTTTAAGGACATTGATGACTCTGTTAAAGTGAAAGTTCTATTATGAAACAACGCCCTAGTGGAGTCAAAGGAAGAGGTATTGTTGTGGTAGAAACAAAGAAATGTATACAAGCTTATAAAAAATGTCTTACTCACTCCCAATCTTAAAGAAAATCTTTTAAGCATTGACCAAATGATGGAAAAAGGTTATGCTCTTCACTTCAAAGGAGATACATGTAGAATCTACACTAATAGATAAGAGAAGTAAAAATGGAGAAAAGAAATAAAAGCTTTCCTAAAGCATCAAATATACTATTAATATTGCTATAAATGTCCAAGTTGATGATTTGTGGCTTTGAACACTTTAATATCTAGGCTTTCAAGCTATTACATCAAAAGGATATGATGAGAAGTCTCCCATACTTGAAAGAGAATAATAAAACCTAT